TCTGATGACTAAGGCCCCTACATTACGATTCTGTCCAGGGTTTGAGGCTAGGGTTTGCGTCGTGCTTAAAGCTTAATGCCTTAGCCTGAAACCGTATAAAACCGAAACTCAGCCCGAAACCCCAAACCCCTAAAACCACAAATCCCAAATCCTACACCCGAAAACCTAGTTAGGCTCGGGGCTTCGGCTCAATTCCTTAAACTAGTTTGGGGGTTTAGGGTTGAGGAAGGACCTGCATGAGGAAAGCACAATCACGACCCAACCCCCCGTCCACAAAAAAAGCTAGGTTTTGCAGGTGCTAGAGTTTTAGTTTCCTCGGCGGCGCACGTTTTAGGAAAGGTGGACCAGTATAGATGCAAAGAGCCTATACATACGGGCTTGAATTTTACGGATCAGTACGTACAGTTGTACTAGTATGCCCCAGAACCCTATTCCAAACATTCTGGTGTTAACCCTTGTAGACCCCTTCAACAAGCGCCTTAAGAGGAAAGGGATGAAATCAGAATCCCAAAGCCAGAGCCCTCAAGCTCAAAAAACACGAACAAGCATGTTCTTTGCCCGAAATCATAGTGTGGTGCATTCCTCAGCAGGATCTCAGGTGGATTCCCTTATCAAAAGGGTCTCGGGAATTCCGTGAGGCTCGAAACACCTGCATTGTGAAGCCCTATTTACACCGAGCCTGGTATAGAAGGCCTGAGTATATAGGATGCCTTCAGGGGTTCGATAGTAAGTGGGAGCGACAATATATATATATATATATATATATAATAATAATAATAATAATAATAATAATAATAATTTTAATAATTTTAATAATAATAATAATAATTAATATATATATATATATATATACATATATATATATATATGTATGTGCCAAAAAGCCCTATGACAATCAAGGCTCCGAGCCTCATGAGCAGCAGGTGGCGGCAAAGTGGGCTGTGGTGCGCTGATGCTTCTGGACATCCGGGGAGGGAGATGTTTGAGCTGTTTTGCCTTGGTTGCTTGTTGAGCTGCCCAGAACCTCATCGTTGAATATTGAGACTTCAGCTCGGGCAGGGTTTTGGGCTTAACGTTTAGGGTTTAGGGTTTAGGGTTTAGGGGGGTCTTCCTCGACCTACAATCAAGCGGAGCCGCAGGATACGGAAGTGGACGACGTCCAGATCGACTATCAAGCGGTCCCATGTCGGGAGGAAATTTCCACCGCGACTACTATTGCTGCTACGGCTACGACTACGACTAGTACCTCCTACTACTGCCACTGCCACTGCCACTGCCACTGCCACTGCCACTGCCACTGCCACTGCCACTGCCACTGCCACTGCCACTGCCACTGCCACTACGACTACTACGACTACTGCTACTTCTGCTTCTACTACTACTACTACTACTACTACTACTACTACTACTACTACTACTACTACTCCTACAACAACAACAACTACTACTACTACTACTACTACTACTACTGCTACTACTACTACTACTACTACTACTACTACTA